ACTTAAAGTGTCGGAAACGATCCTAATATATTTTGGTACGAACTATGTTCGTACACTCTCATCATCCCATACGATCTATATTCGTCCGGTACGAAACAGTTATTACATAGGTCGATTTCCAAAATTTCACAGGACGTAACCAACTGAGGTAAGTCGGTTCAGTTCGTCCTGGGACGAATATGTTTCGTCCTGGGATGATTTTATACAAAGAGTTTCGTCCAGGGACAAAAATTTATTTCGTCCTGTATGATCTCATACAGAGAGTTTCGTCCAGGGATAAAAATTTATTTCGTCCTTTATGATCTCATACAGAGAGTTTTGTCCCGGTACGAACCATAGTTTTCATCTGGACGACCAGTGCAAGGTGAGAATCCAGAGACGTTCATCCCGGGACGAATATTAAATTCGTCCTGGACGATTAGGACTTAGAAATGTTTCTACTCGCCTGATCGATCCATTGCTCTTCTGAGGGTTAATTGACATGATCGTCCCGTACGAACAAGGTTCGTCCCGTACGATCAGTTCACAAAAATTGTCCCCCAAGAGTGTGTGTTGTGATTTTTCACTCAATTACAATCACTCCCTCTCATTTCAAAACTTGTAATTTACAAATGAATAATTTGAAGTCTTCATCGCTTGGAGTTGATTTTCCTGAAATGTTAGTACACACTAGAGCAAAAACAAATCTTCCAAAAAGTGTTAGGAGATATATAAAACAATAATATTTGAAATCATCAAAATAACACAAGTTGCAAGAATGTAAAACATGCAAATAGCAACTCTCTCTACAATATGAAACATGTACATAAGGAGATGTTTGAGTGGAGGATTGAAACAGAAAAATATTTTCAAAAAATTGAACATGACGCAAGATAACAATTTTATTTATTCGGAGATTATAGCATTTGTAACCTTTAGTGTTTGAAGCATACCCAAGGAAGATACATGGTGAGGATTTTGGATCAAAATTATGCTTTGGAAGTGTGGGTAACCAAGGATAACATAAACAACCAAAAGTTTTTAAACTTGCGTAATCTGGTTGTTTGTTGTATAGGAGTTAGAAAGGTGAGATTTTTAGTTTTGGTGAGATGGGTAGTCTATTTAGAAGGTAGATGACTGTAAGCAAGGTGTCCGACCAAAAGGTTAAAAAATATTTGCATCGAACATGAGACTACAAATTGTCTCAATAATATGTCGATGCTTCATTTCAGCAATCCCATTTTGCCCTGGAGTATAGGGACAAGTGAATTGATGAATAATGCCGGAGTTGTGTAAGGTAGTTTGGAAGCGGATGTTGACAAACTCTCCACCATTGTCAGATCTCAAGATTTTAATTTTTTTGTTGAACTGTTTTTCAATAGAAGCTTTAAATAATAAAAATTTAGAATGAGCTTCTGATTTAAGTTTCATTGGATAAACCCAACAATAACGTGAATAGTCATCCATAAATAATATATAATATTTGAGGCATTGATTTGAAAAAATTGGGAATGGACCACATACATCGATATGTATCAAGTCTAAAGGTTGCTTGCTACAATTTGAAGAACGAGAAAACGGTAGCTTGTGCCTCTTTGAAAGAGCACAAACTTTATAATGAAATTTTGAAAAAGAAGATTTAAAAATAGTAGATAAATCCGCTTACAAAGTGGTTGATGGATGATCCATGCAGCGATGCCAAAGCGTAGTGAGTAGAGCAATAGTGATGGGTAAACAGGTTGTGGTTTTTGGAGTCTATAAAGGCCTTGATGGGAGGGACCTTGAAAAAGTGTTTAATTGCTCGTCGAATCCTTTATAGCGAAACCAGATTTATTAAAAAATGATAGAATAAGGATTGTCCTTAATTAATTTGTATATAGAAATCAGATTATGAGAAAAAGAGGGGACATGAAATAAAGGTTTGAGACAAAGCTTACGTTGGGGTGTGGGAAGTAGACCTTAGCTTGAGTGAGTGATATGTAGCATGTCACCATTACCTATTTGAACCTACTGATTTCCTGTATATGGCTGAGGTTGATGTAGTAAATTAATATCCGATGTGAGATGAGAGGTTGCTCTGGAATCTAGTACACAATCTAAATTTTATGTAGCAAAATTTATAACAAATGCTAAGGAGGCTTGTGGTTGATATTGAAGATTTGACCTATGCCAACAATTAAAAGCTGAATGTCCTAGTTTGCGGCAAATTTGACACTCAATATAAGCGTGTGGTACATCTAGTGGCCTGATTTTGAGTTGGTATGGAAGTAGATGACGTCTGATTGCAACGTCCACGTCCTCGACTTGAGAAGGATCGAAAGCGTCCACGACCGTGAGCTGCTGCAAGGGCAAGTTGAGGATCTGCATATAGAAGGAGTTGATTCTCTCGTACAGTTTCAGTTGTTATATTAAGCTCCTCACTGCATAGTAATGCATAAAAGTCATCCAAGTTAATCGACTGTAGTTGTGTGCGAATAACAGTTTTAAAGGATTGATATGCAGTAGGTAATGCGTTTAAGGTGTAGAGTACGACATCTTCTAGGTCTAAGGGCATGCCGGAGGAGGCAATAGCATCACATTTGCTTTTGATATCAAATAAATACTACATCATAGTTTTGTCTTTCATCGAAATGTGATGTAATTCATTCTTTAATTGAAGCAAGCGTGATCAATTAGTGGACTGGAGTCTCTGCTCAATTATTTTCCAGGTTTCTGCATAGGTATCCAAATTCAGTATATAAGGTAAAAGGTTTTGTGAGATCACCGAATAAAGAGCCGCAGCTAGATTTTGATCAATGAGGATCTATGTATGGTAATGAGGATTAGGAACAATTTCCCTTGATTCATTGATAGTGTGTTTTGTACGTTTCGACATCATCCCATCTAAATATTCGTCAAAGCCATTAGCGGTGAACAATTTGAGCACTTGAGATTTCCAAAGAGGACAATTGTCAACGATTAGTTGAATATTCATCACTGATTTTACATTAAGCATGAGAAACTTCAATTGAGGTGGGATGATTGCCTTACTCATCTTGATTGGCATTTGAGAAAAAACCAGAGAAGGGTTTGTGGAAGAATCTGTTGAACTCATCTTTACTAACTCTGTGAAGAAGAAATGTTTAGCCAGAGAACGCAATCTGCCCTGATACCATAAAAACTTTCTTCAGTTAATTTCATGTAATAAGACAATATAGGAAAAACAGAGAATAGAGAACAAAGTAGAAGAAAGGATTTCACAGCTTTTGGAAGAAAGCTTATGGAGGAAAAGTTCCTTCGTATTTTCCTTGCCCTACCTTTCATATTTGATACATATTATATGATAAAAGCAAAGAAGCATAAACCATGATATCAAGTTAGTTTGAGCTCGACGGTTTAGATTAAATTGGTACAACTAATGGCAGATAAAGTCTGAGGCTGGGGTTGTGGAGTTGAGGAGCTGGGCGGCTATAGCAGTATAAGTATAGCTGCTTATCTATTCGGCTTATCAAGAAGTGCTATGGAGAGTTCTAAAAAAAGAGTTAATAATGTTTATGTTCAAGTAATTAAAGATATGTATACAGGAGCTTTGTTCATACACAAATTGGTTTGAACAAGTTATTTTCTATTTTAGTTGTATTACATTGAGGATCAACTTTAAGCCCATATCTTTTTTTCTTTTGTCATAGGTGTTCTTACTAAACATTTGCAAGAGAATGTACCTTGGTGTATGTTTTTTAGCTAATGATACTCTCCTTGTTGATAAGACTGGAGATAAAGTTGATGAAAAACTTAAATCATGAATGTTAACATTAGAGTAAATATTTTTGCTTGAGTTGATTAAAACTGAATACATGTAGTGTAATTTTAATATTAATAGATCTAGTGGTGAGCTTGTGACATTGTATTATCACGTCATTAAAAAAGAGTGCATGTTTTAGATGTCTCGGGTCAATTGTTCAAAGGAATTGTCAAATATATGGGGATATTATTAGTTGAATTCAAGTTGAATGGTTGAAGTGGAGGGATGCATCGATCCTATTGTATAATAGAAAATTAGTCTTTAAACTTAAGGAAAAAAATTACAAGATGGTAGTGAGACCTGCAATGCTTTATGGAGAAGAATGTCGACCATTAAAAGAGAAATATAAAATTAAGTGAAGTGTTGCAAAGGTGGGGATGCTCAAGTGGATAAGTGACTTTACACTTAGAAACATAGTATGATATATATGAGTATATATGTGAAAAAAATTGGACTACCATCATTGCCAAATAAAATTAGAGAGAGTTGCCTTAAATATTTTGGTTATATAAATTGTTGGCCTTCAGTTGACCCTGTTAGCATAGTGTAAACGTTAAATCCGACCTATGCTAGAAAAGGTAGAGGTAGACTTAAAAAAAAATGGTTATAAACTACTAAAAATGACCAATTTTACTAGATTTAAATGAGAATTTGACTTTGAACATGACACAAGAGAGGAAAATGATACGTGTAGCTGACCCCACAGGGTGGGATAAAGGCTTGTTATTATTATTATTGTTGTTGTTGTGTTATCACTATATATTTTTATACATTATATTTAATGGTTATTCGTGTTTTATATTTTCAATAATAGGTTTGTCATGTGTTCGTTTCATACTTGTATTGGTGCATCAAAAACTATATGAGCTACATTTGATAACACAATTAAAATTACATAACAACAAGACTTAACTATATTTATTGTAAAATGAATATTTCTAACTAACTTCTAGCAATCTAATTGCATGAATAGCTCCTAATGACAAAACCTTTGAGAATAATACTTATTTGATAAAGCCTCAGTCGAATTAACTTTGATCTGGCGAGTAACTTCAGATGTTTTGGGCGACTACATGTCTGTTAGTATACAAATGCTAGATTCACTAAAAAAATTGACAACTAGTTAATTTGCTTGCTGGTTTTGTTTGAGGTGTTATAGCTAAACTGGAAAAATTGACCTATTTAATTATTTTTTTTAATTTGTCAAGGTTCTGGCTTAACCAAGATCAAAATCAATTAGCTTCGAGTTGAATCAGACCAGTCTAGAGTTGAGAACTTAGGGTTTCTTTGGATCAAGTTTTATTCCATTTTGCGCTGCCAGCCCAATAAAATTTTCGTCTGGGTTCTCTCCGGAGTTTTCCACGGAGTTTAGATCTGAGAGTGGACGAAACCCTAGCCATGACGAGATCGAAATTGGCGTTCATGCTCCCTCTTTTCGTGTCGGCGATACTTGTTTCTTCGGTTATAGCGAGTTCGGATGTGCCCTTTATGGTGGTGAACAAGAAGGTGAGCCAATCCCGTCTCAAGTCCGGCGCGGAGCAGTTAATTGTTTCAATCGATATCTTCAACCAAGGATCCGTGTAGGTTTGCCGCGAAGCCTGTGTTCCTAGGGTTTATCTTGCTCTTAAATTTGTTCGTTGACGGGCTGTCCTGATATGCTCTTTTTCTTTATTTGTGGACTTCGCAGCTCGCCTAATTTACAATAGATTGAGTTTGATCGTTTATGTTGATTAGTTTTTTTTTTTTTTTGCAATTGATTAAGGATTATTTGATTAGTTGAATCTCTTATTAGGCTAGACATGTTGGCTCTTCATGATATCCTTGGGTGCCACCTTTTCTTGATACTTGTAAGTCTACATGTGTCAGGCTTTATGAAAGATGCAGTTTATGGAGATGCCTTTTTGAATTCCTAGTCGCTTTGAACTTGTTGCCCATACCAAGCTCTGTTCAGTTAATGTACTATTTCTTATGGTGTTTCTGCTGACATTTGTTTTACTGGAAGGAGCTATTATGAATCAATAACAAGTTGGAAGTTACAGCAAGGTCCAGGTTTAACATTTAGAAACTGGATGCACTAGCATAAAAGAAAAAAAGTGCTTGGTCCATATGTTATCAGAAGATTTGGTGGAGTCCTATATACAAGATAATGTTTGTTAATTAAACTAACTTTATGTTGGGTTGATTTGCTAATCTTTATATATAGTAGGGATAGCTTAAGGTGCTTTAGTACCAATTTAATTTATGCGTGCAAATATTGCACTTGATAATGCACCATGGCAGTCTTATTAGCCATTATTATGACTACTGAGAAATCTTTAAGTGTTTTAGGTGTTAGGAAAAATTTGTGTGCTATGATTTGTGCTGATATACTGTTAGATTAAATGCTTTGAAGTAAGAGTTAAGTACGTCAACCTCCTTTTTAAGTCGTGCATTGATAGTAGTCTTATGCACTTTATGCACCTTTTGTTATCAAATGCTTGCAAATGATTTGAATTAGAATTTCTCTTTATCGTCGTCATCATAAAAAAATAAGAGAATACTTTGATGCCTATCATATGTTAATTTAAGTTAGCCTATGCTAAACTTGTAGATTTACTCATATTTGTTGTTTAGTTCAATGTGAAGATTTTACCAAGAAAAAATTTAAATTCATAAAACGCATGTGACATGCTTGGAGTGATAATTATTATGCATAAAAATTTTCTCATCTTATTAGATGTACATGACTCTAAAGTTATCTTCACCATTTTTGAAGAAAGCAAAGAATATTTGCAATTGATTGGTGTTCTTTTAGTGCATTATAAATACATATCTAGAATAGAAGAGGACCACCAGTTAGGACTTGTTGAGATTGAGTGCTTAGGGTTTGGAGATGTAAGATAGGAAGTGCCTCATTTGGGAATTTAAAACATTGCTATAATGTGTGCTATTGACTTGTAAATACATAAGAAGTGACTCTTTTGGGAATGTAAGATAATGTGTGCTATTGACTTTTATCTCAGTGTAGAATTAAAACATGCATGACAAGCAAATGTTATGAGAGGAAAAAATATTTAATAGAAGAATAAGAGCATTACGAGGGGAATAGTTTGAGGAAATGCATATCTCAATAAGGAATTAAAACATACATGAAAAGAAAAATATTACGAGGGGAATGAATATTTAATGGAAGAAGAAGAGTATTACGGGGAGAATAGTTTTAGGAAATGCACACAACATAGGAAGAAACTTCAAGGAACAGCTAAGGCTGAAATTAGAGCAGAGAAATAGGAAAAAATGCTAAGGTGCAGGAAAGTAGAGAAGGTGCAGGAGTAAAAGAAGAATATTAAGAGCGTATGAATCATGAAGTACTTGAGATTTAGTTAAGGGATGCACTCATTGATAGGGCGAAGAAGATGCTATTTCTAGAGATTGTTTTACTCAACAAATTAAGCTCTGTTAGGTGATGCGTAGGGTTTCACCATCACAAAATTGCAAAAGCAGAAAGCAAAATTTGAATTAGTTGTGGCCAATTTTTTTTCCTAATGGCTTTACAGATTTGTCTTGTTATTGAATCAGTAACTAATAGTGGATATAGCAGAGCTGCATAAGTGACCAGTTTTGTCTTCCACCAAAAAATTCATGCTTGCTCTTCCACTTTTAGATTCTTATTACGTGCTTCAATCTGCCCCTTCTAGATTTATTGAGAAAAGAGAAGGGAAGAGGAAGCCATGTTTGCAACTCATTTGAAATACTGATTATATTATTGATAAAATTACTGTGCAAAAGTTCTTCAGCAGGCTATTAGGGCCCCTTCATTTGTTTTGATTGCTACTTTTGAAAAATTCAAATATAATGGTTTATGTTTATACAGTCTCATTAAAAGCCATACATATGGAAGGCATGGGATGGAGGGTTGAGTAGTTGAACTATGGTTATGATGTGACAGACAAAGCAAAACATGCCACATTCAAGGAGATCAATAAATGACATGATCATGTAGATCAAGGAAGAGGTCCATAGAAAATAGGAGAGGGTAAGTAGCTTTGGTGTACATGTTGATTCTAGAATATTATTGAGCCCCTTTGATATAGATTCTATGCACTATTGATAATTTATTGTTGATCACTTTGATAGTTTAACAAGTCATCTCTTTCCTGTGACTTTTTCAGCTTTATCTGTAGCCAATTCCTTTTTTCTTGGCGCTTCTATGATTATTTTATTTGTTGATCTTCTTCATGCAGCTTTCCAAGATCAACAATTGATTCTTTTTTTTTTTCTTACAATTTTGCGGCTCTATCTTAGATTGACTTATTTGCTTTATTATTTGGGTTTGCGGTTGGTTCCTCTGTTTCATCTTCATGTGATTGTTACACACATTTTTGACTTTGGTAGCTTAGTAGCAGGAACAATTATTGGTTGTCTGCGTTTTAGCTGCTATTGAGGCAAGGGATTTTCAATTAGTTTTGTAATTATAAATAGAGTTTGGGGACGTATACAAAACTCATTTTATTAGTTTGTGAATAAAATTTCTAGTTGGATGTGCGATTTCTTTTGCTCTCATTATTGAGATTTTGTTCAAGTGAAAGATTTGATTAATTTAGGGAGAGATATCTTGTTGAATAAGCTAGAGGCTCACTTTTTAGTAAAATCTTTCTTAGTTTTATTCTTTTTCTCACTTCGCTCGTATTTAGTTTTTGTTATTGATTTGAAAATGAGATTGTGTTTAGTCAAATTTGATATAATATTAATTTTCTTCTAAGTGTTCATTTTAAAATACATGCATAGCTTTCTCAATTCTTAATTTTTAGTAGGAGGTTATTATTCTTTTGATTAAAGTGATTTCCATCTTGTTTTAATTTGTCATTGAATGTAGTGAATAATTATTTAGTGTTGTGTTGATTTGGTATGCTTACTTCATGGTCTTCTGTATCTTATATTAAATTTTTATTATAAACCTTAGAACTTAAGAAGCTTGACATAATATTTGATTTTAGAACTTAATGTGCTATCATAATGTTTTTTAAACGAGGGACATAAAATCAAGGTTGACTGACATAAGAAGAAAATATGTGATTCAAACAAAATCAATTTGGCTAGGGATCCATGCAAGTTTAACAATTATAATGGATTTTAGAGTTGTATTTCTATATTTGATGGGAGGTATAATTCGGAGGTGTTTTTATCTTGGTGAGATAAAAGATTTTTTAAACATGCATAGGATGCTTGATTCCTAAAGAATTGAACTTGCTAAAATAAATTGATGGGACTTTCTCAAATATTTTTCTGAAGTTTCGCTGCTATAATATATATTTTGGATATTTGCTATTCATTGATTATAGGGATGAATTTAAGAATTTTGATTAAGATAGATATAATGTGTTTAAATATTTTCTACAAGTTGACGGTCTTATAGCCAACCATCATTTATCTAGAGATTATAATATTATCAATATTTGTTTCAAAGTCTTATGCAAAAAAATTAAGTATAAATTAAGCTGCAATATGTTAGACCGGGTCCAGCCGGTCCGCACGGGATCGACTCAGGTGGAACAGAGGCAGACTCTTCTGCCTCTCTTGTACGCCGATCAAACCGCAGGAGCCATTGAGCAGTTTAGGAAGGTTTTTTGAGGGATTAGAAGGGACATTTGAATGTAGGGACTGCTTAGATATTTCCTTTTGGATTGTATGCATTAAATATTTTGTTTTCCTAGGGTTAGGGTATCTTGAATTTGGTTGAAATTTGAGATCTTTTAGGTTTTTGGGCTCTAGTGGTGTCTAGAGATTTGGGAGAGAGAGATCCTCCTGTCAAGTAGAGGATTAATTGTATCTTGCTATTTTCTTCCGTTAGTTTGTGTTTTGCAATAAAATTCTTGTTTTTCTCTGATTTTTCATTGGATTTGTGGAGATTTCTCGCTGTTTTTGTCAAGATCATTAGGTTTTACTTGAGATCTTCAAGTGTTTCCTAACAAATTAGTATCAGAGCAATTTCCTAGGCTGAAATAGAAGTCTTCCTTGTTTAATTTTGCTGTGTTCCGTATCCGATCCTGTTGTTTTTTCTGATTGGAGGTCTAAATTCGCATCAAACTTGCAACACTTGCTATTGGAGTCTAAATCCAAGTTCCCATGTCAGTAAGAAAGATAGAAGTGTTGGAAGGGGAGATTAGACAATTGAAAATTAAAATTTTAGATCTCCACACTCAACTTTTAGATGTCAAAAGTTAAATTTCAGCCATCCATGAGAAGATGGATGTGAATTTTTCCAGCCTGGGGGAGATGTTGAAGAAGTTGCTCGAGGGTCAATCCAAAATGGCATCATCAGAGGCGAGAGAAGCCTCCGCCAACCTAGGAAGCAGGGAAAACTATAATCCAATATGGCAAAGGGAAGATCAGGAGGTGGAGTCTCAAAAAGGAAAAGAGAGGATGCCTCCCCTGGAGCCTGTTCCTGTGGGGGAGCCGGGTAGGGGGTATGGGGAGAAGCGTGAGGAGGTGGAGTATGAACAAAGCGGTGCTAAATTGGAGAGGAGAGGGGCAAAATTTGAAAGGGAAAAGGGTAATTATGACTGAAAAGGGCTCGAATTGAAAGGAGAGGGATTTATTATGATCCAAGTGGTGCTGAATTTAAAAAGAGACTGTGGGAATTTGATGAAAGTTTTGGGTATGAGCGTAGAAGGGATGATTGGGACACTTGGGGGAACCACCCCCTTGGGGAATGAGAAATTATGGAGGGAACAGAGGGAATAGAGGCAATTCGAGGGTGAGGAAACTGAAGATGATAATCTTTGAGGGGGAGGATGTGAACGGGTGGATCTACAAAGTAGAAGGATATTTCGCCGTCAATGGGTTGAAGGAGGAGATACTGAAGACAATAGGCCTATTTATTAAGTTTGTGTGTTGTATCATAATGCAATGCTTATTATTCATATGCATGATTTGTATGAAAATACTTTTAAAAAATTTTGTTAACTTTATTAATCATAAGTTTATTGAATATTTGAATAAGATGCATATGAAGTTTGTTAACTACAATACATCCAAATGCTGTGAGGCTTCCTATGTGAACTTAATAAATTCACTATTAGAACTAATGGGATTATATAAAATCATATCATGAATTTGGACGTATGCCGATAAAAGTTGAAATTTTTTTTAAAATTTAGGTTCGAATTCAATTATTAATATATTTGTTGGGACTTTATATCATGAACCATGAACTAATACTTTAGATTCTTCTTTCTTTTCCACATCCTCTGGGTTTCACATTCAACTCATAATTTATATAATTTCTAGTCATTCATGCCTTAAATTATTATTGGTGATGAAATCTGATCCAATGTTGGTTGATGCAGAAGGTACCTAAAGTGAGAAGATTGATCTATACGTGATGATTTAATGATATCTATACTGGAATTTTAATAGCAATTCCCCCAAATATATTAGAACCATCAATTCTTTTAAGATGAATTTTCCAAGCCTTGCATAATTGATGCACATCCTAATGCTATTCATTGTCGCTGATCAACTATTGTTCACTATGCTAGCTTCATGGGTCATTTTCTTCTTGTAATCTTTTACTAACGCTTTCTCAGCTTTATATTCAACTGATTCCTTTATTTCTCAACTTTTTCGCGATTCCTCTATTCTACCATCATTTGCTATATAAACTAGAAAGCTCTTAAAAGCTTTTAAAATATTCTAGAAACTTTTTAAAAGATTAGTTGGTAACCCCAATGAAATGGTATAGTTGGGTGATTGAAAAGTCAGCCTTTTCCTACCTTAGAGTATGATTTCATAGGAGTGAATCTTCCTTGAAGGGGCCCCTGTGATTTGGTGATCAAATCACAAAGGTGATTTTTTTTTTCAAAACTTTAATGAAGTCTATTAGGAGAACCTGCTTGTATAAGTTGGGCATTAGATTGTGGAGGGGTTAGGAAATTATGTTCATTGAAGTTTTAACTGCTGAATTTCTTAATGGAGATTAGTACTGGTGATGTTTAGGTAACCTGGCTTGTAGTGATCAAAGTGGGTGTTGCCAGGGCTCCATAGGTACGATAAATTGTCGATTGGATATCATTCAAGAGAAATGAAGGACTTAGAATTTGGATGGTTGCATTAAAACATGATTAGGTTGAGTTTGAAACTTGGAGTAGTGTGCTTTGGCGTTCTTAATTTGGTACTAGGATAATTCCAATTTGAACTTATCTAATTTATTATTACAGATAGATTTGACCTTTTGATAGAGTTTATAGAGGAGTATGTTAGATTTAATATTTCTAATCTCTGCATGTCATTAATAAGAGTATACTTTTTCAATATCTTCGGTATATTATTTAGAGTGATGGTGAAATAGATAGGGATATTATTTTTAGAATTCAAGTTAGACGGTTGAAGTGGAGGAATGCATTGGGCTTGTTGTGTGATAAAAAAGTTCCTCTCAAACTTAAGAGAAAATTCTATAAGATTGTGGTTGGACCTGCAATGCTTTATGGTGCAGAATATTGGCCATTAAAAGATAAGCATGATATTAAGTTAAGTGTTGCAGAGATGAGGATGCTCAGGTGGATGAGTGGCTTTACTCTTAGAGGTAGGATACGAAAAGAGATATACATGAAAAGGATGGAGTAGCTCCAGTGGAAGATAAGATTAGAGAGAGTCGCCTTAGATGATTTGGTCACATAAAACCCGGTTAGGAAAGTAGATGTATTATATTTGACTTATGTTAAGAAAGATAGATGTAGACCTTAAAAGGCTTGGTTAGAAAATGTTAGAAATGACATTTCCTTATCATATTTAAATTAGAATTTAACTCTTAATAGGACACAATGGAGAAAAAAGATTCATGTAGTCGACCCCACATAGTGTGATTAAGGATTGATCAATATGCTATAATTGCCTATTTAAAGCCTCTAATTTATGCAATGAAAATAATGAAATCCGTCACAGACATCCTTCCTCCCGGCTATATTCGACCTTATTCTCGAGTATTCTAACTAAAAGAAAAAACAAGGAGTTTTGCGGGTACTGTAGCATGACACAGTTATATTGCCTGGCTCTGTAGTTCAGCTGCTTATGCTAAGTGATACTGCTATTTGTCTGCGCTATCCCTTGGTGCTACAGGAATGCGCAAGAGACTGCTGCTGTTGGCTTTTGTAATATTCACAAGAATCCTGTTTTCTTGTGCAGCTGCTGTTGCTCTCAAACCAAAATCAGGGAAACAGATTGCTGCTTGCAGCAATTCGGAGAAAACAAGTTTGGTTGCTGATATTGGCAGAACGAAAGCAGGAAACAACAACTGATTGCTGTCTAGGGCAGAAACACGCTTGGAAAATAGTCCAAGTTGCTGTTTTTAGCAATCCTGGAAATAATCCATTGGTTGCCTTGCTTTCAAGTGAAAAAAGCCTAAAAAATAGAGCAAAAATCATTTACAGCATAATATAGAGCTCGAGGTACCTGGTTTAATTGATAGATAAATAAATAAGGAATTTCAAAAAAAATTCCTAACCATTTAAACCTCAATAATAATGAGAAGTTAACTATATGGACATCCCCCCATTGGACCACACTAGAGAAACACGATGACCAACACAATGAGATTCAACGAATAAAACAGATATCAATTAATGTTCAAGAATAACTGAATAAGTTACAACCACATGCTTGCCAATTGGCTGAGTTTGAAGATGCTGCGAAAATGCTGCAACAATCAATAATCGCCACTATTTGCTGCATCTTTCTGTTGTTACCTTGACTTGGAAACATGGATTTATGCAGATTAATCTTTAATCCCTAAGGTATCAACATTCCATTTTTTAATCAGGAGAATATGCATTGTTGAATTCTTAAATGAATATTGATTAATGTTCTAAATATCAATTGATGTTCAGAGTTATGTTTTGTGAGCCCATAAAAGCTGGTACATTTTTCCAAAAAAAAAAACACGCTATTATTCCAATGGAAAGAAAAACACCTTATGGTTAGCATAAATAAAAATCTCTGAAAGATGTAAGCCAACGTTTCTATGCTGGATCCTGCAGTGGTGTGTCCCAAAAGCTGCTGGTGTTTATTGCATTCTTGACATTTATCTTATATAACATAATTCCATTCTTCAGACTACTAAGCCAAAGTTTTATGTAATATATGATTGCACTCCGGTCCTGTTTTGGACTGTTTTTAACTATTCTTAAAATTAGTTGTAAATTGGTCAGAGAAAAACATAGTTTTTGAAGGCTGAAATGAGTATTATAGGCTTTTTCCTTCAAGAAAAAAGTTGGACTTTTTACTTATTGCTACTACACTAACATATCTGGTTGTGAAAAAGCACATTTGCATTATAGATATTTTTGAGATTATAAAATGTAGTGAAAAAGTTGCCCCAAAAATACCATTATGTGAAAAACAATAAAAAATCTTCTAAGATAATCTCTAAATTAAATGTATCCATTGATAGGTAGTTCAAAGAATTTGAAATTTTTTTATTGGTTCTGAAATTGTTATTACATATATGTAAAGATAAATCCAAGACTTATCTGAAGTAGGGAATGGTTTCATTTAAAGCTTCAAGATGTGCATCTTCTTGGGTAACCTGACTTCTTCTTATTTGACAACTTTATAGGACTGCCTATGATGTGAGCCTTGCTGATGATAGCTGGCCTCAAGATAAATTTGAGGTTGTATCTGGTAGCACTTCAAAGACCTGGGAACGGCTTGATGCGTGAGTTCTTTATATTGACACCCATGCACATTTCTCTACCCTCTCCATTTTACTTTTTTATCAATGTAAAAAAATATAATTTTCCCATCTTGTCTGTTTTGTTATTAGAGGCGCGACTGCTTCACATTCATTTGTTTTGGAGTCCAAGGTGAAGGGCGCTTTCCAAGGTTCTCCTGCTGTTATCAAATTTCGTGTTCCAACAAAAGCTGCATTACAGGTCTATTTCAAATCTTGTTGGAACTTTGCAGTACATCTCATGAAGGGCATCCCACGAATATTGAAAATCTCCTCATAACTTTTTAATGGTGTTACTATTTTGAAATAAATTAGTCATGAGGCAGAATTTATATGATCCAAAGCAAAGCCCTACATAGGGTCTTGGTTGGGTACCAATTGGGTACTCATACTTTACTCGGACGGGCTTCGCCCACCCACGCTCACCTATGGTGACTTTCGAGATGCCGTACCCACCTATACCTACCCATTTTCCATGCTTTATGAACACAGTCTGCCACAAATTGATGGCCTTGAGGCTTGTTGCCCTTTGCTCTTATTGCATACTTTCAAGCCGCATATCAGAATTTATTGTAGACGCAGCGTGATTAAGTGTTGCACACTATGTAGTGAGGATTGCAATAATAATATAAGATATATGGTGATTAGCAATGTAAATCGATTTATCCCCTGATGTTGAGTAACCACCCATACCCATCCACAAGGCCATGGGCATACCCATACCCACCCATACCCATTATGGGTGGGTGTGGGTACCCAATGCAGGGCTCTGATCCAAAGAGGCAAATGTAGCAATTATATAATTTGATTATCTGCCCATGAAAAAATGAAGATGTGGGATGGTGGACGAACTGTGAATCAGAAGCTAATAAATCGATATAGTATTTGATGACATTCATCACATTCTGAAACTGTTAAAAATATAGATAATGTGGATCCTCATCACCATACATGGGGATCTGTTAAATCTTTAGAGCATTTGGTGGGCGATCTGTTAAATCTTTATATCCTGACTATTTCGCACCGTTTTATGAATTCTCTTTATTTTCACTCCTGTTGAGTGACATGTGTGACGTTTTAAAATGTATTCTCTGTTAATCATTTTTGAAGATTTCCAGTCTTAGAAGTATATTACCTTAGATCTCTCTTTCTCCTTCCTAACCTTCTAATGCCGATTTTATCCACCGTTTTATTAGGTTTATTTTCTCTGTTTCTTCGAATATTTTCGTACCCACCTAAGTTCATATTTAAAAGCTTTATCTTCCATGTTGCGGAAAGTGTATAAAAATTGTGCAAATTTCTTTAGATAAGCTACTATTAGCCCGTGGGTTTATATTTCTTTTTAGCTTTGTAATTTTTAGTAACTGTCTTGACCTGAGTCGCCTGGAGATCCTGGGGAGTTGGATGCACTGTCCCACAACCATTGATAGGTTCCCTAGTATGGGGATTTTGCTACTTGAAGTTTTGTAATCTGTGGAGGCCCGGGATTTACTGAAATATTTCTTTCTTCGTAAATTCTTGAAATCTTCTTTTTTTTTCAAATTGACCTTACTTTTATACTCATGCTACAGGAGGCTTACTCTACTCCCATTCAACCTCTTGACATTCTTGCTGACAAGCCTCAAGAAAAGAAGTTCGAATGGGTAAGCCTTTTCGTTATCCTTATTTATGCTTCATTTGGGACTGCTTCTTTACTGTTTCTTAAAACAGTTTTTTAGTACAAAATTTTTAAAAAGCTGCTTTAAACAGTAAGAAAGCTGTCCCAAACAAAACCTAAATCTGTCAATTTTCCTTTCTTACATTTAGTTTTAAATCACTGAGATTTCTGGATTTTTGATGTTCTGATCGCTCTTGCTGCCGTTTTCATTGGTCAATTCCTTTCAGGCAAAGGTAAAGAATCTCACTGAAACTAATGCCTATATATACAAACAGTAACTCTTCCATCATTCTTCTAACTATGGTTTGAAATATGCAGAGGTTATTGACAAAATACGGCTCACAGGTCGTAGTACTGCTCTTTGTGGGTTTATTTGTGTATGTTCTCGTGAGCCCATCAAAATCCAATGCCGCAAAGGGAAGCAAGAAAAAGCGTTAACAGGTTTCAATTTGCTTCTGTTATCGTCATCATATTTGTTTTGCCTGAGAAAATTTGGTGGTGGATTCCCACTCCTTAAACTGAACAGTTTTAGTGCTTGATTAGCAGGCCCAGTTAACTTTTTTGTATGCTTCTGTTAATGCATTTTTAGTTTCTTAATCTTGTATGAGGCGCAGTATGTTCAGCTCTCAATAAAACAGATAAAATATTGATTACCACAAATTGGAAGACTGATGAAATCGTTTCCAATATTTGTTTCTTTTTTTGGCCCAGTAGCAGTATTTACTCCCAAGTAGGGGTGTCAATATTTGACACAATTTTAAAACCTGATTTAAATCCGACACGGAAATTTTGGGTTCGGATTAAGGTTTTCGACCCGTTTCAATAATTAGATCGGGGGGTTTGGTTTGAAATGGAAACTTATGAATGACCCGGATTGACCCGCTGATTGCTGCCCGCGTGATCGAGCTTGCCCACATGATCGCAACTGACCGTCACTAACCGCAGATGCCCAAGGCCAATCACTCATCGCGTCCGTCTGCCTGCCTGTTGCGTCGCTGACCCGCTTGTCCCCCGCGTCGCATCCTCACTGCCACGTAGCGTCGCATCCTCACTGCCACGTAGCGTCGCATCCCTGCCGGTCCCTACTGGGTCGCGTTGCACCGGTCTTTCCCCCTTGTATAATTTGATTAATTTGGTATAATACTTCTATAAGGGTTTTTTAATCACCATTTATAGGATTATTATCAATTAGATTAATAGCTATTTGAGAACTTACTCTCATTTATATGCAATAAATAGGCATTAAGATGAGTAGTTTATCAATGTACAAATCTTATAATTTTATGGTTGAAAAGTTACATTAATAATACTTTAAAAAAAATTCTATACTATGAATATTTGATGGAAAGTAATTTTTAATAATAAGCTAATCTCCACTCTTAAGAAAATAAGAAAATAAAATAATCATAGATCTTAATCAAGGTTAGGAGAGAAAAATTAAAGCCTTAGGCTTTGTTTGGGGTAAATTTTTTACTATTTTTTAAAATATTTTTTTAGTATAAAGTTTATTTGAATTAGAAATTTTTTTATTAGAAAGTTGCTTTAGAAAGCAGTAAGAAAATCATCCAAAATAAAACTTTAGTCATATTAGAAAATCATATTATTATCGCTGCACATCTGATGCTTTGTGGCGGTTATAACAACTACTAAATATGACATTTCGTCCAATTTATTCTGCCGGTCATTAAACTGCTGCGGAATGTCGTTGCAACATATAACAATTACAGCGGGGACGCAACGATTTTAGAATCACTACAAATAAATTGGTGGCGATTATAACTGCCGGGATAGTTAAAAAATTATGCTACGATAGCCCTTTTTTTTCCGAGATCAATTTTATAGAATTTTTTTAAAGACACCTTTGAACTCCCTAAATTAATTTACAAGTCTTAAAACTTCTCTCTAAAATTATAATTTTTTGGTCCTTCTAGACTAAGGAATATTTCAAACTTAAAAGTATTTTAAAAAATAAAAATAAAAATAAAAAGAGTCCATCTGCTCATCATCACATTAATACAATCATTATAATCTCCATGCATTGTAGGCTTCTCGCCAACTTATTAAACAAATACAATACTGCTCAAAAGAAGATAATAATCTCATAGAAAAAAAAAATTTTTTGACAGATTGATTCTTTCTGTAAAGAAATCAATAATGTTTCATGGAATCATCTAATTATTAGCTTATTCAATAAAATTTTGTTTGTTAATAGCTGCAGAAGGAACAAACTTTGATTCCATCCAGTTTGGTAATCCTTGTGTGAATATTTAATCATGCATTTTAATAAAGAGTTAGCAGGCTAAGTATATTAGGATCCCTAAATTATAATTTAGTTGGTTAATTAAGAAGGTTAAGAGGGATTTTTGAAGAAGAATAAAGATTTGTTTTCATGAGCTTTAGGAGATGATGTAGAAAAGGAAATAGTCTGGTACAAGCATGCGGCACAAGTAGCAATAAGATATAGCTGAAACTGAAGCTCCATTGATTTATAATTCATCTTCGAAATCTACAAGTTACAAGACTAAATGCCATTGGGGAACTTCACAAATTATCCTCATCCTCCTCCTGAGTAGGGGTGTCAAAATCAGGTTGCGGGTTTGGTTCAGGTCAAATCCGGAATTGACCCGATGCTATTTGGCACCGCCTGAACCCGAAACATTTTTGCAAACAGGTCATAAAATTCAACCCTGACCCAACCCGTCAGGTTTCAGGGTTGACCTCACGACACGGGATATGGCCGAAGATGTGCACGAAGCCACGAATGGGAGGAAGGCTAGTCACTCGTTTGTCGTCTCGTTGAAGCCGGAGAAGAGGAACGAGGAAGCAACGTCCTACGTCATTGAGGACTGCAGCTAACGGCTTAGCGAACCGAGTGCCGGTAGCCTAGGGTTAGGACCACGAACCAATTGCCGATTTGCCGGCGATAGGACAACGGGAGAGGCGGATGGCGAGGCCGTCAAGCCGGGTTGACTTGGGTACAGCGGGAGAGGCGGATGTCTTCTTAGTAAATCATATGCCTAACCTTCTATTTTGGTAATATGTGGTTATCAATACATTGATTTTATCTTATATTATTGATCCATAATGCATTAGAGTGATGTATTTGCATAAGAGGATGATTAGAATATTGTTTATTTGCATCCACCAAATATCATAAAATAATAAATGAATGTATTTGCATTGAAAAATATTATTTCAAACTCACTCATAAATGATGTAGTAGCAAATCAATTGCCCCATCAAATAAAACCCATTGTTGAAATAATTATCACTATTGCTACCTTAAGCTTATTAAAAATTTGGTAAAATTTTATTAAAACTAAGATGTTTTTCAGGTTGAACCCTTATCTTTCTCTAGTTTCTTGTTCAACCCGAACCCGAACCCGATCAGATTTTTAAAACGGGTTGATTTATTGAACCCAAACGTGACCCGTTTGTCAAATGAGTTAATCATAACCCAAAATTTTCAGGTCATGTCAAACATTGGAACTTTTATTTGGTCCGGTCACAGGACGTAGCTCTACGTTCGGCCGCCAGTAGAATCGCGCCACGCTTTCTCACTATTTACCTATCACATAAAATATAGATATTACATATAGAGGTAAAAGTTCACTTATATTTACTAATTTACCGTGGCAGCGGGGCAGCATAGGCGGGTAGTCGGGTCGTGTGAGAGGCGGGCACCGCTCGATCAATCGAGTTGGGGACAGCGCGGGCAGGTAGCGCTCGGGCAACCGAGTCATGGGTAGCGTTGCAAGGCTGGCGGCCGGTTGCTGTGGGGTTTTGTACTTTTTATTTTTTATTCTTTCGATGGCCATTTTCTATCAGACAGACAGCAGCCAGAAAATTTTTCCTATGAGTTTTTTTTTCCGCTGGGAAAATTTTCTTGCTTTTACCTACGAAAAATTTTTCATCAGAATTGTTCAAATCCGTTGGAAAATGAGTAATTTCCACCGAAAAAATTCGTCGATATTATATGATTTTTGTGTAGTGATAAAGAATAATTGATCAAAAGAACTAACCAGTTGAAGATTTATCTCTCAACAACTTGGTGAAATGGATGACTTTCATTGAACCGATTTGACGTGAAGATGAAGGATCATCCAGTGCAAGGAATTTAATATAAAATTGCTTTTTCCTAAAAGCCAGAGACCTTATCGTGTCGCCAAATTAGAGCACCTAAAAATTGTTTAGTCGCTTGTGTTAATCGAGATTAATTATTATTAATCTGCAGTTGGTGTAGCGCGCGGTCATTGCGTATCAGTAGTTGAACTCCTTAGCTAAGTCAGTTTCATACTTTTATTTAAATTCAATATCTTATATGATTAGACTTTTTGAATGTTGACTGAAGACTTTGGAAAAAAAAAAAAAAAAGTGATCATCACATATCTCAACGTTGAAGGTTGTGTATGAATTTCCTAACAGTAATATTTTTGGAAAATATTTTTCTAATACTATTAATAAGTCTTTAAATTGATCAAAATGTGATCATCACGAATATTGCTGCACAATTCTGCCAGTATTCCGTCAGTAAATCCGTCATAAATATCTTCGGGGGAATGGTGAAACAAAGTTTCCGATGCTCGTTTTACGATCGATTATATTTTTGCCGAAAATGAACCGGCGGATCTTCGTCGGTAATATGAGTTTTTCCTGTAATGCAACTACCATATTGTCTCATGATCTATAAAATGAGTATAAACTTTGTTGTAGGTCTTGATTTTGTATGATACTCAATATCATTGTGTGGTTGGCTTGATAAAAATCTACAATGGCCTTAGCTTGATTCAACTTCCATCAAATGGTCTAATTTTGAAACGACACAGTTAATACATGCAACAAATTTTGGCTCGTCAAGGCTCTAGCTAGGAGGTTGGTTTATAATGAAGAAATGGGTTTCTGCGAGTTTGCGAAGAAGAGCATAATAGAGGATAAATAATCAAGGAAAACATATATTATTCTTTATTAAAAATTGTGTACATTGGTATTTTCCACTTACACCGTTCTCTCGAATTTATTATGCACATTTTTACAATAAATGGAAAGGCAAGATGTCCATATCTTATAACTATCTCAGTCCATGAAATCATTGGACTACTGAGACTTAGCCTTCTTTATAACAAATTTTAACAAGTTAAATCTTCCCTTTATAACTTCTCCTAGTAACATCCAATGCTAGTTTTCCACAGTGAAGTCATTTAGCTTGATTGGACTATGTCAAACTTGTTGTGATCATTCTCTACTTTTAGCTCAATAGTCAAATGTTTAGAAGTTGATCGTATCAATTCCCTCAGTTGTTGAAAAATTGACCATGTCTTCATAGTCAACGGTAGGGTATGCCATGAGTAGCCCATATTCATTGATCCATGTGAAATCGTTAAGGAAGGCTGCATCATTTGACTAGGTAATATAATTTTGGGAAACTATTGTGCAAGATTATTCTGGAAGAGATGATAACTATAGGTTGAACCGTAGGATGATTGAGCCATGTATTAGTTGGTTAGCTAGAAAAATGGAGCACTATATTCTTAGTATAGGGCTTAAGAATAAAAAATATTAAATATTGAATGGATTTGAAATTCTGGTGGCAGTTGTAATTTGTAAGTAATAAGGTTGATCCATTACATGATAGAAAAATGTCTGAAGTAATGACTGTCATGTATAATAATATTTTTGAATGATTATAGCT